GCTATTATTTTATTGATATTAGTTTTTTGTGGATTCTTTAAGATTCCATATGTTTCATATATTCAAAAGGGGATTAAATTAATCATTCAATAAATTATTTATATTTATTTGTATTTATGTTTTTAGATTACCTTCATTTTAATCAATACATAGAAATCTGATTCCGAATACACAAGAATTAAATATAATTATGTTACGGCAAGATCGTACGATTTGGAGACTAAATCACCCCAAAATTGATATCATCCATAGAAAAAATGAATAATATAAAAATACAATTTATATTTTTGAAGACTTATACAATTATAAAGCATGCATTTATTCTCCGTTTAAGACCAATATGTTTAGATTAAATTATTTAAAATATTATAATGATTTGGTTTGAATTCTTCTATCTACTATATTTTATCCACTTTATATTGTTCTATTATGGTTATCAATATAATCTTAAATTCAACAAAAGATTAATTCATTTTATTAGAAAATTAGGAGAAATAAAGTATAAAGAAAAACATTTGTAACATCATAAAAAATTTCAAAATAATCTTAAAAAACACTTTAAATAGAATAAATAATACGATTTGGTTAGTGTTATAATAAGATATAATAATTTTTATAATTAAAATTAATTTTTGTAATGTATTAGGGTTGGGGTTTCATAAGAATATAAATAATGTTGATATTTTTAACCCTTGATATCTTATAAGAAAGATAATGAATTAAATAAAGAGGATTATAAAAATTATATTTATAAAGATAAGCTTACTTATAATATTCTTGAGGAATTCCTCGGCAGCAGTAAGCTCCCCCCAAGACATTTCAAGTTTAATATGATTCTTGCTATGAAATTATATGGAATAACTAAATTATAAAATTTATGATAATATCACATTAAAAATTTTGGCTCATTATTTTAAATATATCATTTCATTAATATCATAAGTTTACTTGTCCTGCTACAAAAATTTAAATCGTATTATTTAATAGGTCTCTGATTTATCAGTTAGAAGTTTAAATTATATTCCTCATATAAAAAATTAACCAAATTTTTGTATTTCTATTCTACAAGGTAGCATTAATATATTACTTTGTTAGGATTTTTTAAAATTCTTAGATTAAACTTTTAAAGAATTGAAATTTAATCAACTTTTTACATAGATATCTAACATCGACTTCAAAGCTAATATTTCCTATATATAGGCAATTCTGTTCGGTATCTTGCAATTGTTCTTAAATGTTACTAAAACTTACTTTTGTTTTCATAAGTTACACTTTATGTACATTTCATATAGGCAAATTAAAATAGTAGTCATTCTGTGTCTACTACAAAAAACATGCATCCCCAATAATTTCACAAAAATTCATAAGGTTATTCATTTTATTACTCTCTTTCAAATATTGAAATTCTTACTA